CATTATGTAATAAATAACAGTAATAATAGCGCCCTCAGTCTCAGTTGGCTTTTCTGCACCTGAAAAATATGAAATAAAAATTAATACCAATTGAACTGTTCATACCCTTAAAACGGGGATATTTGTCACCTTTACACTGATTTGGATATTAAATGACTAAGTCAGATAACTAACAAAAATGAGAAAGTAGGACTGTCACAATTAAGACAAAAAAATATCATTGAACTTGGCACAAAATTCGATCGTTGGCCACAACTATTTTTTTAAAACAATCTACTAAGGTTATTTAAATTAGTTAATTAAAGGTAAATTATTCAGAAACAATATTAAATGTACTTACCACCAATAGAATTTATTATTAAAATTTTCTCAAACGCATCGGTGCTTATAATATAATAATGTGTTATAGGTACTCGTACAATGTACCATGTTTTGTTATGTGGACATGGCGAACGGCTACTGCTGTCTGGCCGTTTATGATCGACGTCAGAAAACGTTGGCCAATAGCAGAATTTTGTTTTGTTCACATGAATAAGAATTTCTACAATATTGTAGAATATTTTTCAATAAAATTGAATGTTTATTATAAGAAGGGATGTAAAGTATTACTATTTTTTGTAGAGAAAATTACTATTTTTTGTAGAGATAATTATTAATATTTGTACAAATTTTTACAGAAGTTAGTAGTAGTAATTACGATAATTGTAATAAATTTCTACTTCTACAAACAATAGTAAAATATACTAAATATTGTCGACTTCTTTCCTATTGTTGTAGCATTTTATTCGACAATTCAATTGCTACAATAATTACTAGTTTTTAACTATAAATTGTAGTAAAATTTTCTACAAATTGTTAAGTATTTTTCTACAAGTCTACTACTACAACATTGTAGTAAAATTTTCTAGTCACATTTTTTTCCGTGTATAAATAAAACAAAATGGTTGTATGGTAATTGAGTGCCTATTTTATTATTTTGTCTTGCTCTCCATAAAATATCTCGCTGATTATATACATCCAGGACAAGCAAACCCTTTTTCTGGCTGCACTTCATGCAAAATAAACCTTGAATACTCGCTATAATCTATTCGGTACAAATTCTCCGTACACACTGAGCACGTACTGCGCATTGCCTCCCTTTGATGTTCCGCCAACAAACGGATCGGGGCGATGCCGCACGGTGTAATTTGCCACGCCTCAGAAGCTCGTCCACAGCTGCATGCTCATGCGTCCTCGGCTTGCCTCATACGCGTACGTGCTCAGATCTCTACTCGCCTTTAGATTAAAAGAAAAATAAAATATTTAATAGTTATGTTGTTTAATGAAAGTAGAAGTGCAATATTAATTTATTGATATTTTTTCTGGTAAATTTATAAAATTTAACCAAGCATCAAAGGTTCTTCTTTTTTTTTACGGTCCTGGTACCGTTTCTCCAGAATTATTACTGACATTAACCACATTCAATTATTTTTGGACATTATTATCAATATTTTGATATATAATTCCAACAGTGTCCTGCAAATTTTCGACGAATCTATCAAAATTATCGAATGCCACATCTGTATATAATAATGGAGAACGAATAATGTCAGGAGGACTAATTTTTAAACAATCAACAAATGCTACAGTTACTTCAGTTTCAAATTTTTCCAGGGTGTTATAGTTGCATTTAACATATTAATAACTTTTCGACTACTTGTAAGACTTTTTATAGTCAAACCAAGTGCAATGTGTTTAGACGGTTTAACAGTTCTGAATTTTTGTATGGCAAATTTATTTTAAGTTCTTTGATAGCATATGTTTTGGCATTTAGTGTTGCCTACCTATTAGGAATTGATTCGAATGCGAGCAACAAATTACGGTCTTACAATTAACATTTTTTCATTTGCCGATTTTGGGTGTGTTAGTAATAACGACCTTCCTCTCTATCCATTTTATTTTCCCTTGATATGTAGTGAAACCCTATTATTCGAGAATAAACCTTCTTGTACCAGTATTTTTTTTAATATATAGGTACATTTAGGTTGTGTACCTCTTTATACAACAACATAACTATATCGTATTAAAATTACAGCGATACTAAAATGGTTTGAAAAACATTTTTTTTTTTTTTTTAATTACTAAAATAGCATCTGACACGGAGTTAGCAACGACAAAACTATATGGCACTTAATATATTTATATAGCTGAAACGATATAGAAAATTATGAAGAAAAAAGAAATCGAACTAAAATGATTTGAAAATTCGAGAGACCCTAAAATGGTGGTTCCCACCTTATCGAGACTGAGGCCCACAAGGATAAACTCGTAGCGTAACAAAAACGAGAAATGATTTAACGAAATACCGAAAGCCGATAGTAGTATTAGCACATTGAATTTTTTGGTTTGTGAAGCATTGGCATTACTTAAGTTAAACCATGTGATGATTTTCACAAGCCTTGATATTTAAAACCATTCTATATCGCCTTTTGAATAGGGTTTAAAAACTTTTTCTAGCAATTTATCCAATAATAATTGGCTCCTTTACCTCTTAAGCCTGCTCATGTAAAATATTTGGGCTCCTTACTTCGCCTATTTATATTCTATTAATTAAGGACAGAAGGATGAGTACTGCAACTATGTTGAAAAAAATAAATTGGCTTTCAGTTCACAATTATGTTCAGTACATGACTGATATTTATTTATAAAATAAAAATAACATAGTACCATCGCATCAGATCTATTAGAAAAAATTCAACTATAATACAAGAAGCCAATCTGACTTTCATGTACGGCAAGCCATCACTAAAAGTTCCCAAAATACCATTTTTATTAAAGGTTTAGAAGATTAAAAAAAAACAATAAATGTATTCAAAAGTAACCTCAAACAATACTTGATAAATAAACAGAACGGATATACTTTCTTTTGATAATACTCTTTAAACCTGCCCTTTTTAAGTATTTCCCTTAATTTATTGTTATTTTACCCCTCGTTTTATCCGCATTTATTATAGATTATTTGTTTTGTAATCATGTACTTTATTTTAAAAAATTACTCGATGTTATATTAATATTACTTACTATGTTTAAATTATTAATAGTTTTGCGACGATAGGTTATAGCAACTTATAGCCACAAAACTATTTTTGTGTTAAAGTAGATCCATAGAGAGCAATGTAATTTACTAAGGCCTTCTTTCAATATACAAATAAATAACAATTTTATAATTAAAATGAACAAAATACCTCATTATCATAATTAATTCAAATTTGAAATTTTGAAATGGGCATTATAACCTACCTCTCTTTTATATAATAAAAAAGTACTTTGTATAAGAACATTATATTATCTGTCTTGCTGTACCTTTATTTATGAAAAGCCTGAATTGAGATACATTACAAATTATTTGCAATAAATATCAAAAGAAGTATACATTTTTAAATAATTTGACATTTAAGAGCCATTCACATACCACAGTTGACATCTTGATACTTGACAGGCACAGCCAAGCATTATTCTGATTTTTGCCAAATAAAATGGCCGGTTAATTATTCTATGGGGTTGCGACAGAGAACCAGTAAATTTGATGAAGGTGTTTTTGTGGCTAGGGGCGAAATAGTAGTACGCTTAATAGCACCACCAGAAAAAAGTCATTTTTAAGAAACTTCTTATATATTTTTCAAAAATTGGCAGGCTTGGCGACTAATTTTGAATGAAAATAGCCTCCAAAATGGCTATGATTGCTAAGTATGAAGGTCGCAAGCCGCCTTAGAAATTTCACCTTTACTATCAACAGCTGTTGTTTGACAGGTCATTAGAGAATGTTTGCAATTTATGGAATGTAAAGAATGTTAAGAATTTTGACATTAGAAATAATTGGAATTCCTAAAATTGTCACATAAGGAATGCATAGGCGAATTTAAAGAAAATTGATATTAAAGTAGTTAGGATGAACCGAAAATTCTGAAAATCAATACGGTTTTAAGTTAGAAGTAATTATTCAAGAAAATCAAAACCGCAAGTCAATCAGAACTTTCGTTCTAGAGTTATCGTGCCGACATACATACATACAGACGACCAGACGAACATTTTTTTTTGCATTTGCGAACTTAGAATGATCAGAAACATGAAAAAAAGTTTTAAAAAATGGCGGTCAGAAAATTTTTTCGTCTGCACGAATGCAATACTGATGCCCCATAGGAAGGGCCTCAGTAATACGTAATTTGTACCTGTACAAATAGGATGCGCAGTATAAAACGCAACCACTTCCAGCAGCCAGTTGTGCCATATTCCAAGCTTCAATAAGAAATTACTAGCCGATTCAAAATACTTTTTTCGCGACGTTGCCAACTCTTAGATAACCATCCCTAACATAACATTAACATAATCGATAACATTGTGATTTAAAGGATATTTTCTTTTATTTTCCTGTCGAATCAACTTTACTCATATACGATGGGATAAATAACCATATAGTGCCATATAGTACCATTAAAATTGGAAGTTTTTACTTCTATTTACGCGATGATCTCTCTCTCTCTCTCTCTCTCTCTCTCTCTCTCTCTCTCTCTCTCTGAGAAAACTCGCCGCAAGATGGGTGCCGTCATGTCGGAACAGAAACTCCTATACCCAACGTATTTACATATATCTTCATTATTATTATAATTAGTTTTTGTTTTTGTTTTTTATACTCACGCCATGGTTTCACAAAACATCTATAATCAATTAAAATTAAATCAAAATTTTTACAAATTCTCTAGTCTGGTTGCCTTCAATCGCTATATCCTTGAAAACATAATTCAGACATTCAACATATTATGCCAATTGCATGTCGTATTTTTCATAATTTTCATAGTTCATTTTTAAAATTGTCAATATATTTCTTCATTAAAAGCTCATAACAAACACTTTCTTTTAATGGAATCAAATAAATGTGTGACGTTATTCTTTTTTGTTTTTTTTTTCGAAAATAACAGTAAATTACAAACAAAACTATTCTTCATGCTTTTCTTTTATTTTAGAAAATTCGACGATTCCAAAAGATCAATATCTTGTAATAGTTCCTTATATGACTCAAAGAAATGCAGAGTATTACCCAAAACCATTGGAATTTATTCCTGAAAGGTTTTTAGAAATTGATGGTACCAATCCATATCGATATATTCCGTTTAGCGCTGGACCAAGGAACTGTATAGGTAGGTGTTTATAAGATGTTCTTATCATAATCTAAGTTTTCAAAATTCGAGTCGCAACTATTGATACTAACTCTGTGCTGTCGATGTTTTAAATAATTATCCATCAGTAAAAATGAATTAGAAGAGAAGTTTATGTATTGTTAAATTGTAAAAAATTAAATCATGATTTGGAGTATCAAACACACGACTAAAGTCTAAAAGTAGATTATATTGCATTATACATAATGTGGAGAAGATTGGTGTGAAGTTATCAGTAACAGAGACAATCCAGCGAGACGTGTAACTCAATGTATTTTTTTTGTTCGGTAAAAGTTATTTGGGCGATTGTAACCACAACCAGTCTATGATGGCGTCACTAGTAAATAGCGGGAAAATTAAAAATGCTATAGGGCGGGAAATTCAAACATGGATTCAGAAATAAATAGTTTTTCTATACAAATTTACAGGAGAAACAAAAACTATTGTTTCACTGTATATTAAAAAATATTAAAGCTGCCAATAACATGAATTTTTTTATTATATAAATAATCATTTTAATAAAGGAAGTTTTAATCAGTTTAATATAAGCAGTGAACATAGTTTTTATTACTCTTGTAAATTTCGCTAAAAAAAAACTTGAAAATTCTATTGATTATTAAATATTTAAACTTGGAAAAATAATACACCAAACTCTTTTTCTATAAATTATATTTTTGTAAGGTACAGAAAAACAAACTACAATTGCTTACTTTAGAAAGTACCTCCTATCATTTTGTGACAAATTACAAAGAAAGTAACAGTTGTTATATATTCAAAATATATTTAAAAACTAATGTAACAAATATTTTATAAAGTATAGAGTATATCGATATTTTTTTGCCAGACTATCATAAGTGCCTTTTGAACAAATCTCGCTTATGTTAGTCTGGCAAAAAGGTATGGATATGTTATGACTGTTTATTTTAATAGAAACCATGGAAACGAAACAAACACACATACACTCAACACAAATTTATAAGGCCCGAGTTAAGTAAGTTGCCATGCCTTCTAAAAGGGAATGAAGGATGACATACTATCATCATTTAAACAGGACATTGCTGAAGGCTTACCCCTGTTATTTCGTTTGTTTGTGTATCTTGTGCGTGTGCATTCCTGTTGTGTCCGCAGTCATGTAAAAGTTTTCCTAGTCTCCTAATTTGGTTACTAGGTGGACCTTTTCCAACTAGTAGTCTAATCTATTCGATCTGTTCTGCAGCAGGAGGTACTTTTCAATAGCAAATAATAATAATAATAAACACTATTTAAAGATGAATACATTTTTGTAATTTTCTTGTCATTGCCCCTTACCTGTCTCTTACACCACCAGGGTATACCTATTTTCCACATTCCCTTTATTACAGATTACCTTACAATGTTTGAATGAATATAACATTTTACCCATGAAAAATTTAATTTCGTATTTAACTCTTTTTCAACTTCATTTGAAACAATTGGTATATTAAAATTTATTATCAAGGAAATCTTCTAATAAAGTTATAGCAAATCCTACTTAAACTACTGGTTGTTCTGCAGGATAAATTAAACTTTTCTTGAGATTGATCTCTCTCTAAAATCCAAAACCGACTTGATGTCCCCAAATTTATTTTCCAATGCATCCTGATTTAAAATTCTGCCCTTTTGTGATTCAATTTTTTTTCTTCCTTTAAGTGGCTATTAGAGGTAGGTGTATGTAAGAAATAGCCAATCTCTAATCATTCAAAAGTCCTTTGCCAATACTACATGTGCAGATTTTTTACTCCTATACATTTTACTTTTCTAGTAGGTAGGAACTTTGTGCTACCATTAAAGCTGTCCAGACATTCATCTACCTACTTAATGAACAAAAGTAGCTGTAACAATGGATTTCTGTTCCAATTCACCTAAAATAATTATAGCCATTTTGTAATATATTATTAAACACACACATTATACAGTGGTTTTCTTAATAAATTGGAAATTACTTACCTCTAGAAAGAAATGTGTACAAAGACGCGAGTTTGGTTCCAGAAATTGCTTCATGCAAAAAATAATATGCAAAAATAAACAGTCCCCCCCCCCCCCCCCAAAGAAAATTAAACAACAAAATCAGACTCAAAGAAATAAACGGGGCCCAAATGAAATTAATTTTAATAAAATGCACACGTTCATAACAACATTCATAACATTGTCAGTTGTCAGTTTTAATCGATACGTCAACGTCAAAAAACCAGCAACATCAGCGACCTCTTAAATTGGTGTTAGTTTTATTGGAGGGAGATAAATATATGTAAAGATCAATGTAAAAGAGAAAGAAAGTGATATATGTAATTTAAATGGACCACCGAACACTTTTTCCTATTAAGTTACACGTCTCTGTTGTCTCTGTCAGTAACTTTTAGCAGTAAAAATAACCGAAAACACCCGATCGGGAAAACAGTGGCGTCGGGCACACAACTATTTTAATAATCTTGTCAATATGTATTTTACACAATAATATCGACAAATAATTAATATATGGTTGTAAATAACCCTTAAAATTGATAAAAATATTTATTCTGTGAAGGAAATCAGAACCCAATTTAATTTTACATTTAAAAAATCATAAATACACTCACTAAAGTACACTGCTGGCAAAATTCCCTTTGCACTTGTCGAACACAGTGAAATTAACCCTTAAACTCCAAAATAAATAATTACCCAATAAAGACAATCATACCCCAACATGGATTTACCTTAAAAAAGCATAAATATATTCATCAAAGTTCACTGTAAGCGAAAAATCTCTTCTGACCCGTCAAACAGGGTGAAATTAACCCTTAAACTTTAAAATAAATAATTACCCTATGAAGACGATTAAATCCCAAATTGTTTTTTAATTTAATAAGTCAAAAATACACTCATTAAAATAAACTGTAAGCAAAAATCCTTTCCGATCCGTCAAACAGGGTGAAATTAACCCTTCAACTTTAAAATAAATAATAACCCAATGAAGACAATCAGATCCCAACCTGGTTTTACATTAAAAAAAGCATAAATACACTCATCAAAGTACACTGTAAGCGAAAATCTATTCCGACCCGTTAACCAGGGTGAAATTAACCCTTAAACTTTAAAATAAATGATTACCCAATGAAGACGATCAGATCTCAACTTGTTTTTTAATTTAAAAAATCATAAATATACTCATCAAAGCTAAAATCTATTCCGACCCGTTAAACAGGGTGAAATTAACCCTTAAACTTTAAAATAAATGATTACCCAATGAAGACGATCAGATCCCAACTTGTTTTTTAATTTAAAAAATCATAAATATACTCATCAAAGCTAAAATCTCTACAGACCCGTCAAACAGGGTGAAATTAACCCTTAAACTTTAAAATAAATAATTACCCTATAAAGACGATTAAATCCCAAATTCTAAATTTAAAAAACGTAAATACACTCACCAAAGTATACTGTTAGCAAAAATTCCTTCGGTCTTTATAGGGTAATTATTTATTTTAAAGTTTAAGGGTTAATTTTACCCTGTTTGACGGGTTGGAAGAAATTACTGCTTACAGTGTATTTATGCTTTTTTTAGATTTTGAGGTATATTAGTATTTTTTTCAGAAAATAATTTGTTAGATTTATCTGTTTTTCGCATTTCTTTTGTTGAAATAATATTAGATTGGTGAATGATGAATATAGTGATTTATTTTTAGGTCAAAAATTTGCCATGCTGGAGATGAAGAGTACGCTGTCTAAGGTTTTGAGAAGTTTCGAATTGCTACCATCAAACCCTCATCAAGAGTTAAAATTAGCACCGGAAATAATTTTAGTTTCAAAAAGTGGTATAAACATTTCATTGAAGAAAAGAAAATAAAAATTTAAAAGTATACCTATTGTTTTTTTGTTTTTAATTTGGTAGGTATAAAAAATTAGCATCAGTATCTCAAATTTGTAGAAATACAGTAAATATTGTAAGGAACAATTGAATAATTTCCCTTAAAACAATAAAACAACCTATTTTTAAATCCCAAATGGAAATTTTATTAACACATCTAATTTACCAAATAACTACTGTAATACAACTGAATGTCTCGAACAACTTAAAAAGACATCATTCATTCATTTCAAAACTCTTTATTTAAAATATTTACAGTATATACAATTCATTTTTAACTTAAGTAATTACATTTTTGTCCAGTTTACTTCCTAGATTCCCATCTTGGAAGCCTCAACTCAGACTAGCCCGTCTAGACAGGCCACGGCCGATGTCACAGCCCTGTATTTACCCCGGTTAAATTTCCGTTATGATGGCTAAATTCCCTCCTTGCTTAATGAGCATTATGGAACAGTTATGTTGAGTTAGCTAAATCAGTACTTGAGTATCGTCTATAGTTTTGTTTGATTTTACTTAGGTCGTTGTCTTCCCTGAAAAACTAGTTGCAAAAAAACAGGGTTGTCATTGTAGGTGTGTGCGTCACTGTTTGTCTTTCGTGTGAAAAGTCAAATAACGAGTCTGCACGGTTTCATCACTTTCAAAATCGGGGTCTTGGCAAGCCAAAATCTCGATTCAGACCGTGACGTCATCGTGCAGTCTTCCGTCCGACCACCGTTAATAACTAGTGGTCGTAGTTATTTGACTTTTCAGTGCAATTCTCGCTGCTGCGGGTCTGTTAGGAGCATCGTTCAGTCCACGTCGTGTCTGTACATGTTTAGGTCCTGGTGCAAGCATCCATGTACCCTGGTTGCGCCGTCTCTGCTGTGAATTAGTGTTATGTCTTCCTTCAGTGAGGCTGGGAGACTATTTTTGTAGAACCTCTCAGCAATTCTGATTGAGAATTCTTTGAATGGTTCCATGGATGCTTGGTCATGAATGTCTGTGACTCTTGCATAGCGATTGCACCCCAGCGCTAGCCGAAGACACTTGTTTTGCATTAATTGAAGTTTTGCAAAGTGCGAATTAGCCATTGAGCAAAAGACCGGACTTCCATATGAGAGTATAGGTCTTAGCACTTGCCTATACAATAGAAGTTTGTTATTAGTGGTTACCCCGCTGTTTTTGGCTAACAGGGGGTACAAGGTTTTTATTGCTCCGTTGGTTTTGGATATTCTGTCTTCAACGTGGTTTTTGAATGTCAATCCCCTATCTAGGATGAAACCAAGATATTTCATTTTATTTTTGACTTCAATAGTTTGTCCCTGTATTTTAAGCTTGCTTTTAATTCCGTCCGACCACCTTTTTGTTAGTAGGAGGCTCTCAGTCTTAGCCAGGTTGATTTTTATCTTGTTTTCATCCAGATATGGGATTAACACCCTGTTTACATGGATGTCCAGTCTTTTGAGGGCTATTTCTGCAGAGTGTGAAGATTTGAATATACAAGTGTCGTCGGCGTACAGGGCCGTCTGTATACCATTATGTCCCATTGGCATGTCATGGGTCATGATGGTATACAGGTGGGGCGCCAGCACCGAGCCCTGAGGTACCCCCGCTTGCACTGTGTACGGTCCGTTTTGTGTGTTTTTAATGTTTAAGTAGAATCTTCTGTCTTGTAAGTATGTTTGCATTGTTTTTACAATGAAAACAGGGTAGTCATTCTCAAACATTTTGTATATGAGTCCGTCGGTCCAGACGGTGTCAAACGCCTTAGCAGCATCGATTGCAACAAGCATGGTTTGATTTTTACTATTAAATGCCTTTTTGGCGTTGTGCGCTATTCTTATGATTTGTGCAATCGTGCTGTGTCCGGCTCTGAAACCGTACTGTTCCGACGGTATGATTGTTTTGTCAAGTTCGTAAGTCTGTAGTCTGGTCAGTAGTATGCGGTCTATGATTTTGGCTAATCCGTTGAGGAGCGATATGGGGCGGTAGCTTTCTATAGATCCCTTAGGCTTGCCACTTTTATGTATTGGTATGATATTCGCGGTTTTCTGTGTCAAGGGATAATGCTGTAGCTTCATTATTGCATTTATCATATAGCTAAGTTGTACTATGCCTTTTTTAGATAAATTTTTTAATAATATGTTTGGTATTTTATCCGGTCCGGGAGCTCTTTTGTTCGGAGATCTCTTAATCGCTTCTGCGACTTCTTTAGGGGTGGTTAAATATTCTGAAGGAACCTCTTGTACTCTCATTTCTAATATGTCTTTACATGTGTTTTCTATATTTTGTTGACTTATATTGTTTGCTTGGGTATTTTTAAAGTTACTTTGGAAGTACTCGCCGAGAGCGCTGCCTTTTTGGTCGTCCGTCAAGCACACTGTGTTGTTGTAATTCAGTGTGGGAAGTTCCGAGTACGGTTTTTTAAACCTTCTCACAAATTTCCACACTGAATTGTCTTTAGGGTTTAATGCTTCCAGGGTCTCTCTCCATTTGGCGTTACGATGTTCAGTGATTTGTCGGTTTATGTCTTTGCCTAGTGCCAGGAGAGAGATTCTGTCCGCGGGTATTCTGTAGGTTTGCCATCGTTTTCGTAAGTTATTTTTGTATGTTATCAGATCTGTGATGTCTTGGGGTAGTTCTTCTCTGTATTGTTTGTTTTTGTTTATTTTTGTTGTCTTGTTTCTGGCTGTCAGGATGGCGTTTGTCAGTTTCGTAAATTCATCGTCCAGTGTGTCATTGTGTGTAATGTTGTTATTGATTTGTATATTTTCGTCCAGTATGGTTCTGTAGTTTTTCCAATTCGTGTTTTTGTAGTCGTAGTATTGACCCTGCATACGCGGAATCATGTTTGTTGATTTGATTTCCATGTATACAGGGTCATGGTCAGAGTTCATTGTTGTTATCGTCCTTACATTGTCAACGTTCGGTATGTTTTTTGTCATTGCAATGTCTAGTGTGCTTGGCGTTCTACCATTGTGAGGGAAATATGTTGGTTCCTCAGGGTAGTGAATAATGCAGTCTTCGCTCTCGGCGAATTCATTTAGTACTCTACCACTAGTGTTTGGAGTGACACAGTTCGCGTCCCAGTGGTAGTGCTTGCTGTTGAGATCTCCGAACAAAAGGACTCTGCTGCCTAGGGCCATTATTGTATTGAGTTCTCTTGTAGTGAAAGCGTTAGACGGGTGATTATATATGCCAATGAATATTATGTTATTTACCTTTGCTATTACGTGTTCTTGTGATATTCTTATATTAGGTATCTCTGTAAGCTGTAGTTCCTTTTTTATTATAAGCGCTACACCGCCCCATGCCTGGTTTGGTCGGTCTTGTCTAATGACATCATACCCTTGAACTTTGAATGAAGTTGTCGGTGTATAGTGTGTTTCAGTTAAGAGCATGATGTCAAAATTATGTTTGAGAATGAAACTGCGAACAATTGCGGTTTTGTTGCGCATCCCATTTGCATTGTAAAAACAAATTTTGATTTTGTCTTTGTAATTTATTAGTTCGTTAATTTCTAAGTTTGAAGTTAAAATCTACGTTAGTCATGAAGTTGTTATATGTTTCTATGAGCTCTTGTCCCGTCTTGCAAAGTCTAATTTGTGCGTTTAGTTGTCTAACTGCTCTAGCTAACTCACCTATGTTTACCAGGCTGTTAAGTTCCGCGAAAGCTTCATTCAGGGATGTGACATCCGCCGTGACCGAGCCCTGAGCCGTCTGCCTTGGAGCCTCCATTCTGGGAATCGATGTAGTACTATTGTTTCTCTGGTTTATTCTTGGGTTCCTATTGGGCAAAAAAGACATCATACCACCGTTGAAATATCGATCGATAACAACGAATGATTTTCTAGGAATTAGAACACCATGGGCGTGCGGAATTTCTTTTACATTCGGCCATCCTGATAAGATTGTCTGTCCTCAGACAAAATGGTTCTATATTAGATAAACAAAAGAAGATAGACATCCATAGCACTAAAACATATTATAAAGCCAAATAATAATTAGAGGTTCGTTGATCTCATAAGATCCTTGTTAAATCCTGAAAAAGAAAATAAAAAAGAAACACTAAAGATCCGTTGATCTTGTGAGATCCGTGTTGATCTCAAAAATGAAAAACTAAAGATCCGTTGATCTCGTAAGATACGTCTTGATCTCGTGAGATCCGTGTTGATCTCAAAACTAAAACTAAAGATCCATTGATCTCGTAAGATACGTCTTGATCTCGTGAGATCCGTGTTGATCTCAAAACTAAAACTAAAGATCCGTTGATCTCGTAAGATCCGTCTTGATCTAAAAATGAAAAACTAAAGATCCGTTGATCTCATAAGATACGTTTTGATCTCAAAAATAAAACTAATAATTAATCTCGTGAGATCCGTGATGATCTCTCAAAATAAAAAACATACTTATAAAACCGACTTATCATCATCTTGGAACGTTATCCACTTTTTCATGTGGTCTGAAGAAACAACAGTTGTACGTCTACCACGTTTGGTAAGTTTTCTTAGGTTTTTAACCTCATAACGATCATTAATGAAGACTTTGAGGACACGAAATGATCCTTTATATTTGGGAAAGAGCTTTTTACTAGAACCAGTTGCTACTTCACTAGTTATTCTAATCATAATCAAATCTTCTACGTATTTTGTAGCGTCTCATCGTGATTTATCATACCGTTCTTTCTGTTTCTTCTTATCATCCGTGATGTGTTTAGCTGTATTACTAAGAAGTAATTTAAGGTCTAATCGTTGTATTTGATTCTGAACTTTATTAAGAATCCAAGCTTCAGACATATTCTTCGACTTGTAACCAATTAAGACTTACATAGGAGTCGGATTGATTGATATTAAAACTAGTATTTAGTGAACATTGTATTTGTTTCTCAAAACAATCCCACCTAATAGAATCCTCCCAAGCTGCTGTGGTAGCTAACGCATTAACTATGGTTTTGTTATACCTTTCACATTGCCCGTTAGCCACTGCATTCAATATATGTTCAATGTTATAAGTAT